TATGACTGGGTCAAATGCCTTAATGGCCTTCAAATCAACATAAAAAAATAAAAAACAGGCCAAGAAATAAGAATTTTAGTGCCCAAAATTCGGACTTCCAAGTGGTGTCAAAAACGTGAATTAAATAGGTAATAATAATTTTCACTGGGAGACTTTGCGGCAGGAAACTGATCCGGCCTCCTAAAGTCTTGACACCACTTTAGGGTTAATGGGTTCCTGCTAGTGTTAATAACAGGTAGCTAAACCTTTGTCATTGTGGCAAGTGTTGTGAGAGTGCTAGCTTCAATGAGCTTATTTGGCCAATTTAGCCCCTGAGCAAGCTAGCTCGAATTTCTCACGCAGAACTGTTTACATTGGTTAATAGAGACATTGGTTAATAGTGACCACGGTTGTGGTTAGGGTTATGAATAGCTTCGGGGTTAGGGTTAAGGTTGGGATTAGGGTGTCTGTAAAACCGTGTTTCAAATAATTTGTTTCAAATAATTTGTTTATTTGGCAATAATGAATTATAGCCGGTCTGATTTAGAGTCGCCTAGAGCAGGTTAGTACTAGCCGGTTAGTAGCCGGTTAGTAGCCGGTTAGTAGCCACTTGGTGGGTACTAGCTGGTTAGTAGCCGGTTAGTAGCCGGCTACTAACCAGCTAGTACCCACCAGCCGGCTAGTGACCGCTTTTCAAGTGTCGGCTAGTAGCCGGTTTGGAACTAGAAGGCCCGCTTTAGAGCCGGCTAGTGACCGGTTAGTAGCCACTTGGTGGTTACTAGCCGGTTAGTAGCCGGTTAGTAGCCGGCTAGTGACCGCTTTTCAAGTGTCGGCTAGTAGCCGGTTTGGAACTAGAAGGTCCGCTTTAGAGCCGGCTAGTGACCGGTTAGTAGCCACTTGGTGGTTACTAGCCGGTTAGTAGCCGGTTAGTAGCCGGCTAGTGACCGCTTTTCAAGTGTCGGCTAGTAGCCGGTTTGGAACCGGCTACTAGTAGGTCCGCTTAAGAGCCGGCTAGTGACCGGTTAGTAGCCGGTTAGTAGCCACTTGGTGGTTACTAGCCGGTTAGTAGCCGGTTAGTAGCCGGCTAGTGACCGCTTTCTAAGTGCCGGCTAGTAGCCGGTTTGGAACCGGCTACTAGTAGGTCTGCTTTAGAGCTCGGCTAATAGCCGGCTAGTGACCGCTTAGTAGCCGGTTAGTAGCCACTTTGTGGTCACTAGCCGGCTAGTAGCCGGTTAGTAGCCGGCTAGTAACCACTTTTCAAGTGCCGGTTAGTAGCCGGTTGGTAATGTGAAGTTGAGGAGCTGTTATTACAAAAGTGGCTACTAGCCGGCTAGTAGCCGGTGTTCATATGGTACTGTGCAGGGACGTTGCATAGACGTTGCATAGACGTTGCATAGACGTTGCATAGACTGACCGTGCAGGGAGTGTGCATAGAGTGTTCATTGTGCAGGGACGTTGCATAGACGTTGCATAGACGGTTCTTTTGTTGTTGCATGGACGTTGCATAGACGTTGCATAGACTGTCCGGAGCTAAACGACCAAGTTGCCGTTTGGTCAAATGATAAGTTCATAGGTGGTCCAACACTATCGCGGCATTTATCAGTAGAATAAAAGAGAGTATGGGCAAATCATCGCTACCTCATCAGGAGTATAATGGAATGAAAGAAATGATAAGAATGTGCCTCATTTTAATGTTTTGATTTTATTGTATTCGATAAAAGTTTGTATGCTTTTTGTTGGACCTCGCCACTTTGAAGAAATCGAGAAGTTTGCCAAATACAGCGAGTAGCAACTTTCTACTGTCCATTTTTTGGTTGAATAACACAATGTATAGTGTTTCTTCATCGGTTGATTGAAGGTTGGTTGAAAAGGCGATTGAAAATACGATTTATTAATACCATATTTGGTCGTTACCATCTACGTATTCTTCTCTAGCGACAAGATGGTTTTCTTTCTATCAGTGATTATTATAATTTATAATAGCAGAAAGAAAATCCACAACTTAAGTTATCTAGACGTCTTTAAACCAAACTCTTTAATCGACCGAAAAACTATAAAAACATGAGATTACGCGACACGCGGGTTTATTAAAATCTTTTGTGCAAATATTTTACCAACTATTTTTCAGAGATGTGGACTCCATTAGTTTTAGGACTGTCAGCAGTGGTTATACTGGGCGTGGCTGCAGCTGTTTTCTACAAGAAATGTAATAGAGCCTGTCTCCGTCAGCTAGTGAGTGGGTTATCTCGTTGTGTGTTCCTAAACACCGCGCTTCTCGTATTATCTGTACTGCTTTTTAGGCCTAGGGTCATTTTGGGATTTTACCTTTATCATTTATATGGATTATTCTGTTTTGTTCGAGTATGGAGGAATCCCAGTGCGCTAAGAGTAAGGGGCTCAAAACGTTGAAATCAAGGAGTGATCTAAAGTTACCCTCGAAATAGGATGAAATATTATCATCCCCTTGCTCTAACCAGAGCCCTCTCGCTTGCAGTAGCGCGCGACCGCCGAAGGCGGCACAGTCTATCTTACTTTGTATTTGTGAAACAAGCGCGTCACGCTGTACGCGTAGACTCATGGTTAATTGACGATGTCAATTCATGGCAGCTCGGCGCGGCACAGTAGCGCATCTCGCCGATCTAGCTGTGAGAAGCCTTATTAAGTGCGCGGCGCGGCACAGTAACGCATCGCGCTACAAACTCATGGCTATGTGAAATCATCCCCAATACCGACACTGACAGTTACTCGGTACTTTACAACTTTAGTTTCGGAACATATTCTCAATTGTTAACATTCCAATCTCCAGATGCCAACCCCGGACCAAGACACAGCAGCAGCCCCGTACCGCAGCTTCAACTCTTCCAACCACTGCGACAGCCCCAAACCGGGACCCGCTGACAACAGCTATATCAAGATGAAAACTATAAACAGCTGCGGAAGTGATACAAATTCCGGGCCGGACTATGAGCGGTATAACTACAAGCAAGGGTCCAGCTACCCAGGACAGAACGGGTCCGGGATTAGCAGGCACTCGGAACCGCATTATGAGCGGATATAACGGAGGCCATTTTGTCATGGAAGTGGATTTATTTTTTACTCGATTCTGTTTGACAGATTCTTGGGCCACTGTTTTATGGGCGTTGTTCTGTTTTCCGCCCTATTTTATCATGATGACCGAAATGGCTACTGCCCAAACTCTAATTTATTAATTTATCACTGTGATATGTTTTATTTTATCAAACATCATAGATATATTTTTAGAACTTTTATGTGACATTATTCGATTATTTTATTTTAATTCTAGATTTAGATCATAGACGATATTTTATTTGTAGATTTAGACGCTATTTTATTTTGTATGTTTTAGATTCTGTGTCTGTGAACGAGACTTTATCAAAATTATCACCTTTTTCATTTATTACGATTGTTTATTTTACTAAAGTACTAACTTCCATTCACCTTCGGTATCACTCTCATCCAGTATTGCATCTCAGTAAAGTCTCAATTGAAGTTTTATCAACCTTTTGTTAAAGTTAGTGGCTGGCGGTATAATTGTTACAATTTACATGCTATTATTTAAAAAATTAGTCAAAATTATTGATAGACGAGGTAGAAACCGAGTAAGGAGGTGCGGCTACTGATGAGAAGCCTCCTTCAAGTTTATTTGGGTTAGAAACGACATCTGGGTCCCTACCCTCGCACAAGATTATTCTCAATTTTCTTGTTGTGTTCCACAACGATAAATGGAAAATTGATAGAAAGTAGAAAAATGTAAAAGTACTTGCAGGAATTGGCCATGTGCCAACTCGGGATAAAAATGATCCCGAGTGGCGGGATCACTTTTAAGCTTAAATTAGGGCCGAAAAGATAGTTTATTTAAAACATTAAAAAATGAGCTCAAGAAAGTATAACTATATCATTCAATTTATTATATCAAGTATTATTTTCATAGATTATCTGAGTTTACATCTTGATTATTGATAAATTGATTTTTTAACTTGTTCGTCGCGTCATCATTAATAACTTTTTTTTCCTTCAAGTTTTTATTGATTATTGAAAAACATCACCCTCGCAGGACAATGTAATAATAATAATAAATCACTCTACTGTCTACACTCGATTGTCACGTGACTTTTTTAACACGTTCTCTAGGTGGCCCTGAATCACGAATAGCTATTCAGTATTCGAAACCCTAACTCTCTAATCTGATCCCAACCCTAACCCTAACCCAATCCCTAACTAAAGCATATGCTGAAACCCTAACCCTAACGAGAAATTAGGCAAACTTCCTAATATGTATATGGTCATCGAGAAAGTTTTAAGCCAGGGGAGCATTTAAACCCTATGTCATGTGGGGTGATTCGGAATCAGCGTTCAAAAATGCATCGATTCAACTTCAAGTGAATATCATCTGTCGGGGGAAATAGGAATAGCAAGGAAGCTAGACTAAGGAAGGGCTCCAACACCAAAGCAAATGAGTAGCTGCAGCATATGCCCGGCGTGTCTGCAGAGGTAATTACCATAGACAGTTTCTACAAGCTATTTCTAGGTAGATCATGATTCACACGTTCACTGCTGCGCGCAGTGTTGTGACCCCTCTTCGTCGTATTTTACACATATTTGGACGTTGGCAATTTATTCAATTGATAATTTTAAAGTTTTAACATTTTTATATTAAATTCTTTTTTAATATAGTTCTAAAACGATTAAACTTGCTTTCTGTGAAAATTTAATGTACTTTCGTAAAATAATTTTGATGTGGCAGCGATTTGAAAAAGAAATTAATTAAAAATGATACAAAAAAATTGGACATTTTTTGATATTAAAACATGTATAACTTGGGCTGTGTTGACAGTAGAAAAATAATTTAACCCTTGTCCGAAAGGTTTACAAAAGTTTTACGCGCCGCGCATAATTGCCGCGCAATTTCGCGTGTCAAATCCGTCTAAGAGTGAACATAATTGATGAAGGAGCACTTTGAGCTTTACACCTCGTGCGTTCACTGTTCGCGCCTTAATTGCGCCCAGTTCACTGTTGCCTCGCGTTATTCCATCATCCATATTTCTGCTCTTAGTTGCTTTATAATGTGTCAGCAGTAATCAGCCCTGCTGTATTATATATTGTGCTTGATTGTTGATACCTAATTAATTAACTGTTTACGATGGCAGTTATGGTGGATGATGATTAATCACTCTACAATCGCCTGTCACGTGACTTCTTCAACCCGTTCTGTAGATGGCCCTAAACAACTATTCGAAACCCGGAAACCATAACCCTCTAATCAGATCCCAACCCTAACGGCCTAACCCTAACCAAATCCTTTACAAAAGCATATACTGAAACACTATAGAGAAATTAGGCTAACTTCCTTATACGGTCATATCACGTGATCGAGACAGTTTTTCGCCAATATCTCGTTAGGGGAGAATTTTAACCTTATGTCATGGGGGTAATAGGTAAGTGCTTAGTAACCTCTTTGCTTTTATTCGAGCCTTTTATTAAATCGAAGTTACAGTTCACGAGGTTGATCCTTTGGGAGATATTAAATCCTGTTTTACTATTATTTATAAATTCTAACGTTTAACTTTAATAATAATAAGTAAGTTTGGACGCAGACTAGAAACGAGTTTAATCGACTAAGTTTTTGATTTTGTGTACCTTTTTATCATACAACTTTTTAATTTCAGCAAATTTTAGTTAAAGAGTAAATCAAAGTTAGCAATCATTGAACTCAATAGTTAAAAAGGTGACTGTAAAAATAGAACTAAGATTTCGATACTTTTAAATGAACTTCTAGTTCTAATGATATAATTTTAAATTATTAGATGTTTAAATTTTCCTGATAGCTGGATCATAGTCATGTAGAAATTAGGTTAAACATTGTCATGCAGAAATTAGGTTGAAATAATTTTGTCCATAGAAAACACAGTCACGCCTTACATTATTACAAGCTTTAAAGGGCTCGTGAGTCGTGTTAGTGTTACTATTACTTTTGAGCTTGAAAGCAGACAAAACTTTGCTTATTTGTTTGTTTATTATTTTGTTTGTTATTAGAGAAAGAAGACAATATTACCTCTCGATTATTCCAGGAGAAGCTAAAAGCGCTGAAAGACCAAGAAGAATCTCCCGCAGGAGCTGTTGAATCAGCACGCTGAAGAAGTACAGAGACTGGTGAACAAGCTGATAAACTCAGACAGCAGCAAAAACTTCAAGTGAGCTTCGTGACGTCATTGACATTACATTACCGTCGTTGTGACGTCATTTTCGATGTTGATCGAATGAATTTATTTGTATTCTAGAGATTCTATTTTAGCATTTGACAAGTAACAACTTTGGCTCTGTTTACTGTGCTGTAATGCACTGAACGACCGGGATTCCCGGCGCCGGGGGAGGTGTTTATTCCCGGCCCCGGCCAATTTTGAGTTTTTGGCCGGGATCGGAATTATAGATTAAAAAGTCACATAAGAACATAAAAACTACTGTCTTATTTGACCCCCAATTCATACTTACATTTACAACTTATCTTATATTGGTAAGGGATCAATTAGCCGAAGTTAAAATGGAAAGTGCCAGTTTTAATTTAAAGTCTGAAGCACTGAGCGTGAAAAGTGATATTAAAATGGACTCTAAAAGTGCCTGTGTCTTCATACTATGGTGTTCCGCCTCACTTCTATACTACTATAATCGAGCAGGACTTGACAAGCCCACTAAAACAAGTTGTGTAAAAAATACCACCAGTTCACGGCCCAACCACATTGTTTATTTGTACACCCAGTGAATTATTCCTTATATGGCGCGGAACATTCCTGGCCTAACGTGTGTGCCGTGTTTCTCCGCACTATCAGTTGACTACCATTCATGTAGTTGACTGCCACTGTACTCGCATTTATGTGTTACTTGTTTTTACGTGTTTGATTTAAATTGCTCGTGATTAGACACACGTTCGGTGAAAGGGGAGGGGATAGTTTTCACTTTTCAGACAAGGGAAGGGGCAAGGAAACGTGTGATTACTTGATTATTGATTTTTCACGTTTTAAGTTAATCTCGACACGTGTTCAGTAATTATGTGTTTTATAAATACCCTTATACTGTTTACACTTTTTAAATCCCTTTAAAGCCAACAATATAATCCACGAAACAGACTCCTGGCACTAATTTCAGGATCTAAAATAGGCCCGGGCTTTTTTAAAAGTTACTGAAATGACGCTGGTCCTCACTTTTTGGAGTCTACTCCCTCATTTCCAGGTTAGTGCACTATTAGTGGGGAGGAGGTGTATTAACTTTATCAGTCACGTAACCTCATGACACTCCCCATCACGGGTAACTTGTAATGGTAACGTTGTCATGGTAACAGAAATGTGTTTTCAGGCTGAACAGGAAGCTGTACAACAACCGGTCTGACAAGTTACAAGTGGTGGACCTACATCATCTAGATGTACAGGTTCGTTCATTTACTGATTGATAGCTATTTTAATGAACTTATTTGTTTAGATTTATGACGTGTTTCTCAATTGACAATTTTATACCCTCGAGATAATACAAAATTCTATGAAGGATACATTTTTAATGTTCAATTACATAAATGACAAACTTAAGTTGACTAAATCGCTGCCTGTATTTGGATTATTTAAAAAAATCAATTTGGTGTGACCACAGTACCATAAGTCGCACTGAGCATAAAACCTGTGAGCGAATCACCATACTTAAAGAGTGTGTGCCAGCTCATGTCCGTCTTCATAACCTCTTCCCTCCACTGTCCCCATCTTGACTGCATCTCAAGAGAGCCGCATTGAACTTCCCTTTCATGCTCGAGGTTTCTTATAACTCTCTGAAGGACCTCAGCTTGTTGTTCCCGGGCGTTCATCTTCTTCCACGGTTTCTTCCATTCTCCAAAACCAATCCTTGCTCTGCTGTACGGCTGGACCATTCCTCTCACCGCTTCACAGACTAAGTCCCTCTCAGCACAATCTAGTTCCTTGTCTGGTCTCCAAACTCTCCCTGACCTGACTTGCGGTTGAATCGCCCTTATCATGTCATCAAAAAACTGCTGGTAGGACTGATGGAGTCGACATTTCTCCAGCTTCCAAGTATCGGACAGGCTGCCGATGGGCAAGGCCACACTAGATGTTTGACTAAATAAGCAGATGTTACTCAGTGTATGGCATACACCCTGCCATGGCTTTTCCGCTACGTTTGGAATCACCTCTCCCCCTAGACTCAGACTTTCTTCGACGCCTCCACTTCCACTGTTCTCTTCATACCATTCTACTACTACCCCCCCTCTTCATAACCAGGGCTCTTGACTTGGAGGATTTCAACTGGATTCTGGAAACGTGACCAGTCCACATATCTCTTAAATATATTGAGCAGGGTTTTCATATCCTTCATCCGGGCACATGTCAAACAACTGGATGGATAACATCATTAATTATACGGCACTAATTGGTGATATAATCTGACCCCCTAATAATTGGGGTTCCCCTTTGTCGTGCTAGCCCTTAAATGGGTCATAACTTGGCCAAATTGTGTAATCAACTTGAACTTTTGGGAATCACTTGAATTATTTTATGGCGACAATAATTAAAACTAAAAGGAGAGAGTGACGTGCCACACCCTCTGAAATCAATGAAATTTGGCGAAACTTTCAGAAATACTAAGTTTGACTCGCATGTGAAGGTCGCTAAACTAAATGTAATATTTCAGGTACAAATTCTACTAGTACGATTCGATGCAGTGGAAGAGGTTGAAGTTGACGTTTAAGCAGTCACCCTGCCGAACAAGAAATCAGTCAGGCAAAGAGGCTAGGTTGACTAGAAACTCAATCACTATATCCGTGAAACTTGCTGGAAGCTATGTGAGTTATTTTACCTCCTTATTTCAAATGACCTCCAAACCAATTACATTGAACTTTGAAGAGGTGAAGAAACCATTAATATTAACTGAATTAAATGCGACTATAAAACCGAAATAGTAATACACTACTGACTACAAAGAAACATCTTACATGGGGCCAGGCTCATATAAGTGTTCATATGATAGTGTTCATAGCCGTTGAAAATATGGCGGAATGACAGGCTGAATGTGGCCCAGTAGAAGAAAAAAACATTATAATTCTTTCCGACCATAATAGAAATACAATTAAACTAGAATGAAACAAAGAGTATTAAATTTTTAAATTAGTCGAGTCAACCAAATTTCACAGAGAAGCTGGACATTTATACGACAATTTAAACGCAATGTGTATGCGCCGTGATCAATGGTCACGGCGCATAACCATTGCGCCGTGACCGTTGATCACGGCGCATAACCCGTAAGATGCTGCGCACATTTTTGATTTTAAAATGGCGGGAACACATTTCAACTGCCATTGTTATACGATACATTGAAGTGCATAGTGGAGTGTGTGGTCTGATAGTAGACAGAGGATTTATTTGAAACATTCCCGGTGCCTTCAACTGTTCTTTGCACTGACTATTTGATTGCTTAAACGAATAGGCGAGCCTTCAAAAACATTAGTTTCAATGTTTTCATAGTTTTATGATGCAAATATGATTTTTCCATTTACTTAACTGATAATACCCCCAATATCTTTTCAGGTGTGGAGGTCGGACCGAAACTGTAATCAGACACTAAACATTAACGAGAACCAATTATTTTACTCCTTTAATGATGAATAAAGATCGCTGATTGCTTTTACTAATATATAGTGTTAAAATGAAAGAGAAACTGTTGAGACGAAAGAGAAAAACGCACTCATTTATTTATAGTTTTATGTCTTAACAATGTTATTCGAAAGCTAATTTTAAAAGCTGGCTCTGAATCCTTGCTAAATGATTTGGGAAGGTGTAAGGGCTTAATATGCCTATAGACATCATTTTCAGTGGGTTTTATGAAGTTTATGATTAGGGTACATTTTGTGACTGAAATAAGCGCAAGACCTTCGACGTTTCTATTCCTACTGTTTTTTTAATTTAGCAAATATACAAAAAAAAATTATACTGTCGTAAAGATAAAATGTTTAGTTATCGGATAGATACTTTAAAATTAAGTATTAAAATAACCGAGCTAAGATATTCAATGTTAAACTCAAAAATGTTCACGCGTTTATGAAGAAATATCTAATTCTGCGCGTAGTTTTTTGGTCACAACTATGGCAAATTTTTACCAATTTTGTTCATAATTTCAAAATGTTATTTAGTAGACAAATTACTTTCGGACTAAATCCTTATTGTTTATTCAAATCTAAAAGAAACAACATTTATTTGACTTCAAAATTGTTCAATCTGAATACGAGCTAATTACGACGAAGGGAGGTCACAACACTGCGCGCAGGAGTGACGTTACTGGGCGGCGCTCAGCCTGTCATTCCGCGCGCCGAATCTCTATATTTTATGTTTATGAACAAAATAGCCTGCGGAGTGCGGGGTTCCCACTAGGTAAATCATACGAAGAGCTTCCCTGAAGATCATTGAGTAATTTGCCTCATGTTGTAGGCCAGGCCCGCCGCGCGCGTACAGTGCGCGCGCGGCCGTATCGTGGCTAATTTCTCTACGATAATGAAATGACGATGAGGGTCACACGAGGTCAGAGGTGAGACAATGAGTAATAGGCTGTTTCCTGGTGTCGCTCGACATTAGCCGTAGATCATTTCAAAACAACTCTTAAAGTTAAACAGTAAACACTGATGCTGTGCCAAGCGTTCGTTGATCCACACAAAACAATAACAGAAAAATGATCTCTCGTGAAGAAGATTGGGTGATACTGATAAGCTGTCGGCCCCTGGTGTAAGTAGCCATTATCAACATCTGAGAACAGAGCTGGTAAACACTAATTGTCCATTAGTCCCCAGATAACAATGCCAACACTAACAGAACACTGCCATAGAGAGACTTGGTCTAGAATAATGATGGAATCTTTATTTGAGGGTTTCAAGCACCAGGATTGAAGATTAGCGGATTTTTAGCCTGGATTGGCTATGCTGCAATCACGTGACAGATAAACGACTCCGACTAATGAAGCTAGGGTACCGAAGAAGGTGCCATTGTTGTAGGTAAAAATCACTTCGCAGGTTTATCGTTCGACGGCTCACCAATTTTTAGCTTCGTAAGATGGTCAAAGGAGCTGTTTTCTTGAGCTGTCAGAAAAATCGCACTAGATCCGGATTATAAATATAAGTAATGTTTTGGGACAAAGTGAGAGTCTCACTCAGTTTTCCAAACAAATAGTTGTCGACGTTTCGAGCCACGCCTTTGTTTTATTTATTTATTGAGCAGCTATAATGTAACGTAATTGTAACGTCTCCAAGTTTCTTTCATTCATTATGAGGGGGGGGGGGGGAGGGAGCCAATGGGTATTCTTTTGTAAAACATTGATTTCGAGGTAGCAATTGACCATAAACTAAGACCAGCGACCAATCTTTTGAGGGGATCCCGGACCCCAACTGCCAAACGGTGCCTACGGGCCACGAGGCAACCACGCCCATTTTGGGTCCAAATTAGGCCCAATATAGCCAAATACCCCGAACATGCCCAAAAAATCAAACCAAAATCATTGAACTATAGCTATATTCAAATTCAAACTTAAAATATTTATCAGTCAAATGTTCATTATTAATGAACTACGTAACACAAAATCAATCTCAACGTATAATAAAATCACTTTACGGCATTTATACCTTTTTTATTTTGCATTTTATTAATTCTTTACAAATGATATTGTTGAAAGTATGAGACGGCCAAAGATTAACAATCCCAACAATCAAATAAATTAATTTAAGCAGACATGCTGACAAACACAACATCAACCTTAAATTGGAAATGGAATTACAACCAATACAACATTAATAACTCTTTTTCTTATTTTACAAAAAATAGCGTTGCTACAATCTAATCTTAAATTAAACATTTTAACAGGTAACCGCCTAAAATATTAAGTATTTAAAGCATACTGTTAAATATCGATAATCAGTCTATTCACTTTCAAGCAAGTTTATTCAAGAGTTCTAAAACAAGAGTTGCTAAACTCGTACGCATGTCCCCAAACGGAATCTAATATAATTGTTCCTAATTAAAAAAATCAAAGGTTTGATAATTCTTGATCACTCTATTCTATTTCAGTGGAGGTTGGGGTTTTAAGATTACTGGTTGTTCATATAGATATCATCTTGTTGTAGGGTGTCTTGTCTTCTCGGGAGAGCAGGTTTGGCTACTTCACTACAGGGACAGGAGGGACACATACATCTCCGCCCTCTAACTTTCGCATGCGTGGTTGAGAACTCAGCCTGGTAAACCATTTGTATGTCTTCCTTCAAGTCTTTTTCTCTTTTTTCCTTCCAGATGTAAAGGATGATTCCTATCACCATGGCGAGAATCAGGACACACAACACTAAGCTCACTACCGACAGAATGTCAACAGCAGACTTTTGGCAGATAGTTTTATATTTAGATGGCGAGGTTCCTTCTGGACAAACACTGCAAGTAGCCCCGTTTCCAACATGGTTTTCTGGACATTCAGTACAAGTATGATTTTTCCAGGAGTATCCTTTAGGACAGGAGGAACACTCGGAAGATTGAGACTCAGATACTGTGAAGATAGGGCACTTTGAG